GGGTAGGGTAAGAAAGGGAATATAATAGAAGTAGGGTAGGGTAGGGAATAGAGTAGGGTAGGATAAGGTAGGGTAGGGTAAGGAAGGGAATGGAAGTAGGGTAGGGTAGGGAATAGAATAGAGTAGGGTAGGGTAGGGAATAGAATAGGGTAGGGTAGGGTAAGGAAGGGAATCGAATAGAAGTAGGGTAGGGAATAGAATAGAGTAGGGTAGGGTAGGGAAGGGAATAGAATAGAGTAGGGTAGGATAAGGTAAGGTAGGGTAGGGAATGGAATAGGGTAGGGTAGGGTAAGGAAGGGAATAGAAGTAGGGTAGGGTAGGGAATAGAATAGAGTAGGGTAGGGTAGGAAGGGAAGAGAATAGAATAGGGATAGAATAGGGAAGGTAATAGAATGGAATAGGAATAGAATAATTAGAATAGAATAGAATACAATAGAATAGAATAGAATAGAATAACAGAGTTGAAAGACACTTTCTAGTCTTCTAGTCCGACCCCTGCTTAGGTAGGAAAAGGGTGACTCATGGCTGATCAACATCCAAACCATGATTATATCTATGCCTAAGTCTTGGAAATGCTTCATCCCATTTCAAGAACAGCTGCCTAGAACTTGCCTTTTCATCCTAGTTCGAGATATGCTGGGAATCACAATAGAACTGCTATTCAAGGAATACCAGTTAAAATCAAATTAGAACAGAGAACCAGTTTGGTCTCTCGGTTAAAGCACCAACCTAGAAACTGTGAGTTTAGGCTGGTCAATCTCTCTCTAGACCAACCCAGAGTACAGGATTATCTGTTGTGGGGAAAATTGAAGGAGATAGGACTATTAGGTATGTTTTCTGCCTTCAGTTATTTATTAAAAATAAATATATAGATGGAATTTTTTAAAAAATTGCAAACCCTAATGTGCCCGAGGAACTCCTTACGCAATCCTTGGTAACTCTGAGCCTTTCTTCAATTCTGTGAATGCATTTGTGGAAGAATCCTTGATTTCACATGATAAGAAGGTTGGGGGGGGGGCGAGATGGTCAAGTGTGAGTGCGCTTATGACACAGGGTGGAGTTCAAACAGAAAGAGAAAGAGTCCTGATCATCAAAATGCCTCTCATCAACTGTCCCTCCCTCTCAGTTGTCCAGTGCAGAAAGTGTTTCCAGATGAAGATAAAGAAGGGAGGAAAGGAAAGAAGGAGAGGAAAGGAAAGGAGGAGGAAGGGAGGGAAGAAGGAAGGGAGGAGAAAGGTGAGGGAGGAAGGAAAGGAAAGAAGGGCAAATAGACAGGTTTTATAGGGAGGGAGGGAGGAAGAAAGGAAGGAAGGAAATGGTCCACCTGAAGATGGAAGATTCTGCATGGTCTCAATTGTTCACTTCATAGCTTGGATAGATACATCTCTTTTCCTGGAATCTACCTCTTCTCACAGTATTGGGGACCTTAGTCAAGTCAGAAGCATCAGGGAGAACAAAAGTAGCTGATGGCTTCATAAAAAGTGATGTAACAGAAAGGCTCCCCCTACAGAAGTCAACCTGGCTCGCAAACTATGGCTGTTCAGGAAGCTGGTCTGAAAGATTTTGTCTAAAGTCCCATGTTTCATAGTCTTTTATCTGACAGAATAGAATTATTGCTGAGACTTTGAATTCAGGATTGCACAAGGTGGTTACTCGACAGAGTGACACTGCTGGACACCCCACACGCCTCTGTACCATGATCCCACCCAAATGTGACCCAGGATTCATCTAGCAATCTTCTCATCTGCAAAGGTCTGGCACAATTTCCTGCCTTGACAGGGGATTGGACTAGAAGGCCTCCAAGGTCCCTTTCCAACTCTATTATTCTATTCTATTCTATTCTAATCTGACATACGCAACACCTCTTGTGCATCTTTTCTACTGGAGTTACTCAGGAAGTTCAAACTGCCCAAAGAGCTGCTGGCTCTGTTCTACAGAGGAATTATTGAGCCTGTCATCTGCACCTCTATAACTGCCTGGTTTGGCTCTGCAACCAAACAAGACAGATACAGACTTCAGAGGATCATCAGAACTGTAGAAAAAACAATTGCTACCAACCTGCCTTCCACTGAGGATCTGTACACTGCACGAGTCAAAAAGAGGGCTGTGAAAATATCTACAGACCCCTCACAACCTGGACATAAATTGTTTCAATTTCTACCCTCAAAACTACACTATACAACACTGCACACCAGAACAACTAGACGCAAGGACAGTTTTTCTTCGAATGCCATCACTCTGCTAAACAACCAATTCCCACAACACTGTCATATTACCTACTAAGACTGTATT